ACCCCCAGCCGTGGCCTCATCCGCCCCTGATGACAGGCCCGCCTCTGCCGTCCTCCATTCAAAGTCACGGGGTACACAGGGCCTCCGCCCCATGGACGCTCTCCCCCACCCCCTCCTCGCCAGGTGGACGTCTATGTCATGACGCAGCCACTGTCTGGCAAGTGGATCCACTTTGGCACTGAGGTCACCAACAGCTCCGGCCGCCTCACCTTCCCGGTGCCCCCTGAGCGTGCGCTGGGCATTGGGGTCTACCCGGTGCGAATGATGGTCAGGTGAGCGTGTGGCGGGCCAGCCCCCTGCGGGGGGGCTCAGCCGGGCGTCGCCACTACACTGCTCACATCACCTGTGGGCCGCAGGGGTGACCACACCTACGCCGAGTGCTGCCTGACCGTGGTGGCCCGTGGCACCGAGGCCGTGGTCTTCAGCATAGATGGCTCCTTCACTGCCAGTGTCTCCATCATGGGCAGCGACCCCAAGGTGCGCGCCGGCGCTGTGGATGTGGTCAGGTAGGAGCAGCCGCCGCTGGGCTCACCCTGGAGGCCGGCTCCCAACCCTGGCACTTGGAGCTGACTGTCCCCCACCCCCCAGGCACTGGCAGGATGCCGGCTATCTGATTGTGTACGTAACCGGCCGGCCTGATATGCAGAAGCACCGGGTGGTGGCCTGGCTGTCGCAGCACAACTTCCCCCACGGCGTCGTCTCCTTCTGTGATGGCCTCACCCACGACCCGTTGCGCCAGAAAGCAATGTTTCTGCAGAGCCTGGTACAGGAGGTGCGGCAACTGGGAAGGGTCCCGTCTCTGGCCTCGACCCATCTCCGGGACCTTAACTGATAGGAAAGGTCCCTGTGGTCCTGGTCCTGCCCTTTCATGCTCCAGAGGGCTCTTGATCCTTAGGGCCAACTAGGGAGATCCAGTTGGTCCTGCCTCCCATCAGGGCCTGGTGATGTAGGACTCTGCCCACCTCTGTCCAACTAGCTTGGCTCCCTGAACTGTCTGACCCAGGACGCCCACCAGGCCCCACCCCCAGCCTCACACCCTGCTCCAGGGGTGGCTGACTGGCCTCACTCACAACAGGTGGAACTGAACATCGTGGCTGGCTATGGGTCCCCCAAAGATGTGGCCGTATATGCAGCACTGGGCCTGCCCCCGAGCCAGACCTACATCGTGGGCCGCGCCGTGCGGAAGCTGCAAGCACAGTGCCAGGTAAGGGCCAAGTGAGGGCAAGGACTGGGAGCCTGGGTCTCCTGTGTTAAGAGCCTGAGGGGGGAACTATGGGAAGGCTGGCTGGCCTCAGGGGCCTAGGCTCCTCCTAGGACAGGGTTCATGAGCAGCTTAGAGCTGCTGGGCAGACCAGTATTGACAACTGAGGCTGGAGTGCTGGCTCCATTGTGGCATGGCCCTGGGCATGGGCCTTGACCTTTCTAAACCCCAATTTCCTGTCTGTAAGGTAGAAACAATAAAATGGCACTGACCTTGACAGCTGTCATGAAGATCATGTGCCTTACTGCACATCAACACGCGGGCAGGGCTGGGCACAAAAAGTGCTTGCTATTATTACCTGCCCCAAAGAATCCCATTTTATAGATGAGGAAACGGAGGCCTAGATAGGGGCAGAGCTAGGAGTGAAGCCAAGATGCCCGGCTTCCATCCTGAGGTTCCCATCTGCTGAGAAGACCCTGGGTCAGGCATTGCTGAGCCTAGGATGCAGCCAGCACTGACCAGGAGTCTGGAGAGGATGGGAGGGTAGTGTGTGGGCCAGAGACCACCATCCCCTCACCCCTGCCCACCTCTGCCCACAGTTCCTGTCAGATGGCTATGTGGCCCACCTGGGCCAACTGGAAGCTGGCACCCACCCTCATGCCCCCACGGGACCCTCAAGGGCCACCCTGGCCAAAAGCAGCTATGGTGGGGCTGCCCCTGTGGACTTCCTCCGCAAACAGAGCCAGCTGCTTCGCTCAAGGGGTCCCAGCCAGGCGGAGCGAGAGGGCCCAGGGACACCACCCACCACCCTGGCCCGGGGCAAGGCCCGAAGCATCAGCCTCAAGTTGGACTGTGGTGAGGCCTAAACTGTGGCTGGATCTGGGTTATTTATTCACACATTCAAGGGCCCAAGTGACCACGTGTGGGACACTGGAGTCTTAGACCTCTGGCCCCCCAGCTCCACACCCTGCATTTGCCTGCCCCTCAGCATTACTTCCCTTTCATGTGGGCGGACCCAGACCAGGGCGGGAGGGAGCAGCAAGGACCCAGAGGCCTTTCCGGTGTATAAACCCATGAAATAAACCACGTACATCCCAACTGATTGCCCCCTTGCTTGGTTTCAGGACAGCCAAGCTCACAGTTGCCAGTCCGATGGGGACACTGTTGGGCAGAGGGGGGCCAGGATGTGCCCAGGACCATAGAGCAGGTCAGAGACAGGGCCAGGAGGGGGCTGGGCCCCAAAGGTCTCATGGAGGGCTATCGTCCCCTCACTCAAGCAAGGCCTTGCTCTAGAGTCAGCCCACCTGGCTTCCCCACCTGGGTCAGCAAAGCTACCCTCAGCCCAGACTTGGCTTCTCACTGACACCTCTGGCCCCAGAAGCTGAGACCAGGGGAACCATTGGGTCGGAAGTTGGAGGGGGAGGGAGACCGTCTTACTCAAGCACAAACTTTGTCTCCCCTTTAAGACTCAAGGCTCCTGGGCTTTCCAGCTCTGGCCAACAAGAAATGCTTCCTTTGTGGCAGAGATCATCCCCATTTCTCTGTCAGGGACACTGGGGTCCAGAGAGGTCTTAGCTGGTGAATGGGGCGCTGAGATTAAACCCTGATCCTTTGCCCCCCAATACCACCCAAGTACCAGGAAATGTGAGGCGATGACCCCCTCTCCCAATGGATGAGCTCGGCAGGCCCAGAGAGAGATAAATAAGGCCTTTATGTACAGAGAAGCATGATACAGGGGAGGCAGGTGTGCTGGCAAGGCGGCAGCGAGCTGGGCAGGGCGGGCAGGGCCGTCAGTGGGAAAAGATGCCCCGGAAGCGGGCCTTGTCCTCCTCGTCTTTCTGCCGGATCCGTGCCTCCAGGGCGCGAAGCTCCTTGCTCACAATGGGTGCCAGGGCGGGGTCCAGCTCCAGCACCTTGGCAAAGTCAGCCTGGGCCTCCTGGGCATTCCACACGGCTGCGTGCGCCTTGCCCCGCTTGAAATAGGCCTTGACGTTGTCTGCAGGGGTGGCAGCGGGCAGCAGGCATGCAGGGGCATGAGGGGGGCCGGCCAGCTGCCCAGCATGCCTTCTGGCACCACTGGGTCCATCAGGGGACAGTGCCCTCCTGACCCTCCTGACACCACGCATAGCTCACGGGCACACAAGGCCCACAGCCCTGCCCGGGGGGGG